CAGAAAACGTTTACGTAGAAATCGTTTACCGATGCGACGGAAGGCCTTGCGGAATTTGAACAGACCACGTCGAAGCTTGAAGAAGATTGGTTTTCGCTTTCTTCGAATGAAAAGACCTTTTTTGCTTCGCCCAATGATTCGCCACTTTCGAGCTCCGGGGAAACGAACTCTGAAAACAAAATACGACAAAGGTTGGCGAAAATGTCTAATAAGAGTACGTATTGAGCATCATTTTAGCATTATAATCGGGCATTAATTCAGTTCTGCAGATCATTTGCACATCACAAAAATAACGGGTTTTTTTTCACCTGAACAACGTTTTCGAGATTGATGTACAAAAAAAATCATATTTTGACATTCTTACCTGACTCGGAACTTCTTGAATCTCCTATACACACGTCCCTTTTTGTAGAAAACGCCTTTCCTGGTGATACGTAATCGCCTCTTTCGATAAAACCATCCCTTGCGTGAACGCACGATTCTTGACCAACGTCTTCCAATTCTGATGTTGAAAATTGGTTTCTTYCTGAGTCGGRAACGACGTTTAAMGCGATAACGACGACGAGGGTTGATTCGACGTATGCGACGACCACCAATWCGTTTGCGGCGACGCCATCTGCGAGGACGAACGCGTCTTCGGCGAATAAGTCGACGGCGTCGACGARCGCGACGTRCGCGTCTGCGCTTTCTGCGCAAGCGACGGCGAATTATTCGTCTGCGTCTTCGATATTTTCGCTTTTGGCGTTTAATCTTTCGGTAACGACGGAAAATTCGACGAACAAAACGCTTTCGGCGTTTGATACCACGGAATGATACGTAACGTTTCTTTCCCAATCTTATGAGAGGACGTCCTCGGCGAAGTATGATTCTGCGTACTTTGGTACGTCTATGCCATCTGAATCGTATTCTCCAGTTGCGGGGTTTGCGTGAAAGCTTGTAACGACGTCTTCGGAGTCTGATTCTGTGGACAATTTTAAAAAATATATATATTTAGAAAAAGTCTGTGATCCGTTTTGCTGATTCCTTTTTCTTGTCATGACCGTCATTATCATCACCATCATCASCATCATCTTTATCATCATCATCATTGATTTTCTTATTATTGTTTAWCAGTTACATACCTTATTCGTCTAACCCGTGTGGGGTGTCTTCTTTTTCTTTTGAAGACCAGAACAGATCTTTTAGTAATAACAACTCTCTTTGGTCGTTTTTTGATCAATACGAAGAACCTATTTCTACGCGACAAGATTCTTCTGAAGCGATGCCCAATTTTCACTGAAATTCTTGTGTTTTTTCCACCAGTTCGTCTACGTCGTCTAAAGCGTCTAAATCGTCGTCTGATACGTCTGAGGCGACGGCGTCTGATATTCATGCGTCTTCTTTTTACACGACGGATGCGACGTCGAACGATGCGACGAATTCGACGGAGTTTACGTCGACGATAACGGCGTATACGTCTACGTTGACGACGTCGTCGCCGTATTAGACGACGTCGAACACGTCTTCTTCTTCGACGGTATATTCTCTTGAAAGGACGTCTGAGACCTCTCTTATACAATCTCCATGTTCGCTTGATTCGTCTCAATTTGACTACAAATTTGCGAATAACTCTCAGTCGAGATCTGTTGATCTTGTAAACGATTCGTCTGTGTCCAAATCTTACGGTCCATTTCTTTCCTTTAACTTGAGCAATACCGAGGCGACGACCGTATCGGACACTAAAATTAAAAGAAATTTATATATATATATATAAATATAGTACAGCCTTTTGCACAAATTATGAGACATTTATATATATATAAATATACCTAACCAAATATCAAAAACACCCCAGAAATTATGGTATATCTCTATTATATTTTGTCATGATTGCCTAGCATCAGGTTGTTACAGACAAAATATCAGCGACGGTATCCCATAATTTCTTGGGTGTTTTTGATATTTGGTTAGGTATATTTATATATATAAAAATGTCTCATAATTTGTGCAAAAGGCTGTATAGCTGTCTAAATTACTGCTTCCAATCGCGCGCTTTGGACGATATATGACCATAAAGGGTAAAAAAACTAAACATAATTGAAAGAACGAAAGCAGAAAGTCATCAACTATGGTCTTAAAAGGCAAATAAGTAAACAYTGGTTCTTTATTAAACAAGTAAAGAAACCCACCTGTAAGTGACATGTTTGATAACTCGTCGAACTACACGGCGTCCAATTCTTCTGATAAGAATGATGGTCTTGTTCTTAATGATTACACGTCTTGTGGCACCGCGGTAACGGGTGACGAGACGTTTGTTACGTCTAAACAGCGTGTGCCATGATCCACCGGGCCTACGGAAGCATAGTGTGGGACGTTTGTATCTGAGACGTCTAAAGCGACGACGTCGTCTTCTTGTGATACGGCGCCTGTAGGACAAAAGAAATGTCATTTAATTTTTAAAGTAAAAGTGCAAAAATATTCTAAGAATTTTTTCCGCTTTTTCAATTCGTGTTCTAACTTGCTCTTGTCGAGGTGATAATAAAGAGGAAGTTTTTGATCAAATTGTGCCGCATATATTGCTTGTGACAGAAAAAAAAAAGTTTGGAAATGATGATTAAATAATAATAATAATAATAATAGTAATGAAAACTTGTATAGCGCATATACAAGTCTGTTCTATGCGCTCTGATATAACTAACAAACAAATTAAACTCTAAAAGCTAAACTATAAACAAATAAGTTTTGAGTTCTTTCTTAAAGGACAGCAAAGAGTCAATGTTTAAAAACTCAACGATTGACCATTACATCATCCCTGATTCATAATGACTCTAGTCGTCTTGTGCAAAAAGTGAAGCGTTTTCGGACTCTAATGAGATGCACGTTCATTTTACCAATAATCCATTTCAATCAAAAAGATGTATGAACATTCCCTAAAAGAGCTTAGGAGACCTTTCTGGTGTTTTTTACTATTGCTGAAAGCGGCTAGAAGTTAATTGACTGCGCATGCTCGAGATTATATGTTGAACAATACACTTTTTCATAAATAGATAAATTTCCCAAAATAGACAACAAAGTCAGTTTTGACATAGGCGAGTTGTCATAAATCTTATAAAAGTAAAAGAAAAATGCATGTGAGAACGGTCTAAACATACCTTGCTCTTTTGATGCGACGACGGACACGACGGCGACGACGGTTACGTCGTCGTGCTCGACGAACGCGACGTCTGTTTCTTCTCCTGATTCGTCTAAGACGTCTTCGTCTGAGAATATATCGTCGTCTTCGTCGCCTAATTCTTCTCCATGATATGAATCGTTTGTAATGATKTCTGATCTTYAGGAAAGGTCTTCCTTTAAGTAGTCGAAGAGGTCTGTAACGTTTCTTGTAGAGTACAGTGATCYGTTTGTTGAATATTTTGCAGCGATAGATTCGTYTTCCTCGCACAACCCTAAAAATATACAGTCTTTTTATATATCTCATCCCTTCAATATATTACCAATTGTGTTTGAGTATGTTTTCTTATTGGAACTTCRATCTTGGTTTTATAAAAGCTGTGCTAAACAGTGATTCATGTAACGCACTATACGTTGCTACGCACTACACGTGACGAGAAAAACTACACATTTTTTGCGAGTTAATCTCACGGTGCATTGTTTCCGAAGTTGCTCTGAATTGAAACGGTTTTGAGAATTCATGCACAGGGCGACAATAAAGCACCCAATGTATCCTACTCAAACTAGGCTGTAAGAGGCCCCAATTTKTTTTCTATTTTTGCTATCAACTCCTCGTTATGAGCATAGCACTATAAAAGAGGATATTACATGGGCGCTTGATATACGAACATTTTGTACAGAATATCCATGGTAACGTGTTATTTACACATGTAAAGGACCACTTTTTCGCGCTAGAGATTTCCTGGCATATCATTGGAGTTGATATAACAAAAGATTAAAACTTAAATGACAGCCGCATATGCAAATCTTACCTGACGCGTCGAACATTGACCTTGACCCAACGCCTACGGTATCGGTAGCTAATTCGTCTTCTCAAAAATCGAACGAGCAGTGGTTTCTTTTTAACGTAAATAACATAACGCCTTCGTGTATAATAAATACGACGCCACCGACGTCCGATGTAAACTTGAGTCTTGGTATTGATAAAGCGGTTTCTTCGTGGGAAGCGACGGCGGCGACGTCTAATGCGTCGACGTCTTACACGACGAGTACGTCTACGGTGTCTGCTAAGTCGTCTTCGCCTTCGTACACGACGTCTCCATTTTTGTACAATGAGTTTCAGTCTTCGGAATCTACGACGAGCTCTCCAGATACGTCGGGGCCATCGTCTTCKTCTTATGATCCTCCACCTTTTTCGTGTTATTAGGCTACGGAAATAGCCTCTGTTTCGTCCGAGGATGAATTTTACTATACGTCTACGGTAGATTGTGGTAAAGACAAACTTCTTGTTGATCTTCGTGCGAGTGATGACGTACGTGCGTCTATGCTTCTTGACTCTGTAAGATAAATACTATTTTTAGTTTTTTATTTTTATTTTTAGCTTCAACTGGTGGAGGTTTTTTGAAAAGTTAATAAAATTTCACATCCATAAAACTTCCYTCAAATAGAATTTAGGAAATATCTTAAGCAATGGAGCCTATTCAAGCAAGAGTTTCAACTCTCAAGACCTCAACTGGAGGCAAATCTATTAAAGCAAATTTGAGTGTGGCAATGGTTTGATCTCACTGCATAGAATTTACCCAAATAGCAATGATAATACTGAGGTAGTTTTACCTGAATAGAATTCGTCCACCAACGTTAGTCCATTTTTTGCCTTTTTTGATTTGGACAATACTTTTCCTGGTTACTCTAATTTTGAAGGTTKTTCGATGTACTCGTACTCTCCATGATCGGTGGTATGGACGAAGTCTGTTTAAAAAAGACAAACAATCATCATCATCAATTTTCATTCAAACCAACGCCCCGTTCACACGGGGACGTTCCCGTTCGGAACCGTTCTACTTTTTGGTCCGTTTAGGCGCGCGTTCACACTGGAACTCTGGAACTGGCTTCATCTGAGGCTGGCCAAAGTGGTCAGGTTTTGGGGCCGGCTAAAAAGCCGATTCACTTTGAGGACGGGTTACTTCGAAGCATGAACGGATCCGTGTCAACACCGTTTGAATCCGTACCGAAATGTGGACGGTTCYGTGTGAACAGTGGGAACTGTCCTAAAACCGAGGTGTCCTCAAACTTGACCGGCTCCGTGTGAACGTAGTCTAAAATACACGGACATGACTGACACTTGTCAAACTATCGATATTACATAGCATTAATATCGATCGATTGTCAACAACAAATTGAATATGACTATTTTAGGAAATCATTTCTATTCGAAAAGAGGAAATGRTAATAGTGAAGAAATGAACTGACTTTTGAAATGTCGCCACCTTGAAAACTGAAAAATGAGGTGACATCAATTTTTTGCTTTTTTGTTTGCTTTTACAAATTGTGTTTGCTTAAAGAGTTGACATCATCATGAACTATAGTAATATTTGAAAGCTGAAAATATTTTTCATTCTTTTTGCATCCAAATCGGCTTTTTTGGATAACAATAATTCATAAACAAATAAGGTCTTTCTCTACCTTCTCCATCGCTTCAGCAGTAATATTTGAATTCGTGGCACTATTCGTCTTCGTCTTCGTCGTTTTCCGAGTCTGATRTATCGTCGTCCATAACGAATGCGAGTTCTGACTCCACGGAAGATAACTCTGCGTGTCTTTCGTCGGTATTTGACTCTCCATTTGTTTTTCTTAACACGAATGTATCGAATCCTTCTTCTTGTGCGAAGTCTGTTGGTAAAGACGAAATTAGATATGAAAATTGTTATTTTTCAAGCAAAAACTTTATTAGTATAGCAACGTTATTTTGAATTACCCTACGACGTTATCTTAAATCAATAGCCCTTTTTTCGGTTAAAACTAAAGCGGGCAGCATGTTTTCTGCAGCTGTCAAATGAACAAGAGTTCCAAATAATATCAAAATTATGACTTTTTTCAGCAAGAAAAATTATTTTTCTGACATTGTAAAGGGATAAACAAGCTCAAAAATAACAACTTTTTGTTGGCCGCTTTGGTGCAAATCCACAAATTCCTCGCAAAACTTGCTTCCTAATCACGAACAGAGTTATTGCATTGTGTTGATGGTTTTCATGACACAAATTCCCTAATTCAGCTCAAGCAAATGCATTTATTTCATATGTTTTTCACAGAAATAGTCTCCCTCTTCCTCCTTCTTGCTTCCCTGCGATAAATTGAAAGACAGCAATGTCTTTGCATCGAAATGAGACGACCTTCAAGGGTGTATTTATTGAAATCTGTGAATAAATGGATGGAGACGTAAAAGAAAGTTTCTTTCATTGCAGGCTCAACGGTCGTCTCACTTCGATGCAGAGACACAACGATCTTTGACACGGAGCAGGGAAACTTGAATGAGACTATTGGAGAAAGTCTATTGTGGAACAGAAAGTGCGTTGATGCAATTGCTCATTTACTCACTWACTCACTAAAGATATAATAGAGACTTCAAGGACTTAAAAAAATTGATGTTCCTTTTAGCGCTTGAGCTGTATTCACAGAACACCTCTACCCGAATAATATATAATTACATGCTTCTGACATAAATTCAAATGTTAACTGGAAAAACCGTTATATACTTCGGCTAATATAGCTAATTATACGCGAATTCTAATAAGTTTGATTTAATTACCCAAAGTATTTTTTTGGTCTTAAAATCCAGCGCTTCTTGTAACGAATGTATGGTTTGGCTCTCTTGAACAAGACTCGTAGGAACTTGCGTTTGTAGGTTATAAAATAATGTCTTCCACGACGTACAACTCTTCTCCATCTCTTGAACCATCTGATTCTTAACCGCGTAGTTCTTGGTCTCGATCGTCTGTAAATGCGTAAACGACGCAAGCGTCTCCTTCTTCGTATAAGGCGACGCCTAAAACGACGTCTTCTCAGACGGAAACGAAGTCGACGTCGTCTTCTACGGTTGATACGTCGTCTGCGTCTTAAGCGACGACGCTGACGTCTACGACGTAAAATAGCACGTCGACGTCTGCGGTAACGTCGAAGCCAACGTCGACGACGAACTCTTTTTGGGAGTGTTTTTGGTCGTCGACGTCTGATACGTCTCCAGCGTTTATTCCTGCGCATCATGAATCGTCCACGGCGCAAGACGCATCTGCGGTATTTTCTGCCATATCGAACGTACCAACCGTTACGGATTATCTTTACGGATCTTATGTGGCGTTGCACAGTCACCCTGGAATGAATCGGAAATAATTAATTCTAACGTAATTATTCCGCTGAGATCTCAATGTAAAAAAAGTTATTCCTCTTCTTTTAATTATAATTACCTGACTTGTCTTCTAACGTTGACAACTCTGACGTGTCTGCGTATTCTATAAACTGGGACACCCTTGCGGAAACGTAGATATACAGGTCTCTTTTTGAAGGTGCAGTAATATCTTTGCTTTGGCTTGTTGAAATAAAGTTTTCTCCACTTCCTTTTAATTAGAATCTTGATTGGAGTTCTTCGCACAGCCCGATTGCGGCGGCGACGATGTCGGCGGCGGTTTCGACGATAACGTCGGCGTCGGATAACTCTGTACCGTCTCCTGCGACGGCGTCTCAAACGGCGGTTTCTACGTCTTCGTCTTCTCATTATACGTCTTCGACGACGTCTTATCAGGCGACGGCGGCGTCGWTGACGTCGTCTTCTTAAACTTCTGCGGTATCTTTGAATTCGTCTTTTGAAACGACGGAAACGTATCTTTCTTCGTAGGTAACGACGACGCCATTTTCTTGATCTTAAACCGCGCTTGATCTTTCGCCAACGTCTTATATATCTTCTGCGCACTCTAATCACTCCTCGACGGAATCGGAATGGGATCCTTCGACGGCCTACTTTGGAAATCCATCTAAATTTCTTGCCTTTGCGTACGGCCATGATTGGGAACCACCGACCACGACGACCAAAGCGATATCTGGGGGGAAAAAATTAACTAATTGGAGTTTTTTGAATAGCTTATTGTTGTCTTTTTATTTTGATGTATTGTTTAGCTTTATTAACCACTTATTACTTAATATAAACAAACTGTGCGACGATTATAAAAAAGTATAAGTTCATAGGGAAAAACCGCTCGCTGCTTTGTTTGACAACATATTTTCTTGCGCAAAGACCTGACCAAGCACAAAAGAAAGCACGAGATAATGTCATTATTACAATGGCCTTGAAAATTTGAATTTTCCTCGAGTATTCCCATAAGACCTAAGGTATGAGCCTTGCCTTCTGGGAATTCAGGGATAGCCTCAACTCGGGGAAAATGTAAATAAATGGTTAGCGGTATTGTACTAAATAAAAACGTTTTCTCGTGCTTTCTTTTGTGTTTGGTAAGTTCTTTGCGTAATTGAATCTGCTATCAAATAAAACAGCGGTTATTCGCTTTGAATTCGAAAATGGAGTATTACCTCAAACGAGCTCCAACAACCTTCKTCCACTTTGGTTTCTTTCGGTTTCCCAAATTGACGCGGATCATACCTCGTGAAAGCTTCATTTCCCTCCACGTAAACTTGTAAATACCTCTGAAGACGTTGCGACGAGTGTATCTAATGGTAGTCCATGGGCCTTTTTTGATTTTGTATTGAATAAACCGTTTAGGTCGTTTTCGTATCAATAYATGTAGTTTGGGCCGCTTTAGGAAACGTTTTGGGGGTAGTGAACCTGGTCCTCCAACCCATCGAATGATTCGCTTCTTTGGTCTKAGAAAACGTGCTGGTGTTCCCGTTCCAGGCCCTCCTATAATMGGGTACCGTCTACGAGGACGCYTTCGCTTAATATACCGACGGGTAAACTTCTTCATTGAACGAATAATACGCCTTCTGCGACGTCTTCTCCAGCGAAGAAATCGAMTTCGACGGTTCTTTCGTCGTTGGATACGTCTTAGGTAACGTGTCTTGCGACGTCTTTGAGCGCGCCACCAGTTACGAGGGAGGTATCTACGTCTGGGTCGACGTCTTCTTACGTTACAACGTTGTCGAAGGATTCGTCTGACATAACGACGGATGCTGGCACAGCAAACGGAGGTGTTTTGAGCTCCAATGAATTTGCGTACGATTCTCAACGTACGCGTGCCGAAACGAGTCCTCAGGATGACAAAGTTTCTTCCTCGTGGCGTTACCATAAGCCTGCGTTTGCCAACGTAGAAATAGTAGTGGAATCCGCGACCACGGCCGTTGGGGAAAAGACGTCGAAGTTGACCATAGTATCGGACAAACATTCGTCTTCCTGTACAAATGAAATACCCAAAATCATTCTAGGAACATTTATCAGAATTCACTGTCGATAATGTTTTATGATACACCTTTTCAGTTGCACTTAGGCCTCGATAGCAAGTTAATTATTCTTTTGAATTTGACAAATGAGACTATTCATATCAATGTTTGCATTGCTCACATTCCTACAAATTCAAAAGAATATATAACACGCTGTCGAGACCTAAGTGCAACTGAAAAGGTGTATCAGGGGCGGATCTAGGGGGGGTGAATAGGGTGGCTAGCCACCCCCCATTTTTCTAAGCTCTTCTTCCTTTTTTTTCTCTTATCCCTCAAATATTGAAATATTAATTGATTTCTCCAAAGACTGATTGATTCTACCTACTATTTGCCGAGCATTTATGGAACTCCATCCAAGGAGGATGATGGAACAATCACTTTTGGGGCAGTAAATAGCCTAGATGACATTAGTGGGTGTAATGTATATTCGTGTGTACACGGTAAACTCTCATTGTTCTTGATAAATACTAGTTTTAAACGTGAGAGATTCTTTGCTTCAAGTGAGCATTGCGTACTAAATTCCGCTTAAATTTGTTCAATAAAGAGTTACTAAAAAGGCCCACAAAACGCTGCAAATCGCATGTCCGAGAGTCTGGATTTCAAAATTTCTCGAGGGGGGATCCCGGCTTCGGCGTTTGGCTTCCATTTTATTACATTATTTTAGCAATTCACCCCCCACTTCAAAGTACTGGATCCGCGCCTGTGTATTCATACATCTGGAAATAAGCAATGGACATATATGTCGAGAGAAAAATGTCTGCTTAGCGGAAAACAAGGCCCAGTACGAATTACTTGAGAGTAAGCACTAATAAAAAAGCCATGAAATCTTAGAAGATAAATTTGSCAAACTTTATCCTATTGTAGGGCGTACGATGGGAGTCATCGATGAACATCAATAGACGAGTTTAGATATTTTGGTTCAGTGRCCATGCACAAAAGAATTGCAGACGAGGCTCCGGGGAAATAAAGAATAAATCAAGATTATCCATTGATAATTTTATTTTTTTTAATATTTCAAAGAGTTATTTTGAAGTGCACGCTTCAAAATGACCAATCAAAGAGCGTATAATATCGTTTTATTCTTTATTTCCCCGGAGCCTCGTCTGCAATTCTTTTGTGCATGGTCACTGAACCAAAATATCTAAACTCGGCTATTGCAAAACATTTYACTGTGACGGGAGTGCATTGGCTAAAACTGACTTAAAATACAAACGAAAGATTTTTGTGTTCAATTTTTTTGGAACTAGTTATCAACTGTGGACTATAGGGTTATGTAGAGGAAACGTTTGGGTTTCTAAATTCCATATTTTTTATAAAATGGGCAACCAACCGGTTCAGACAATAGACTTCTGGACCTTTTACGTCACTACTTGATTTTCAATGCATTGTGGGATCAGTTTC